ACTGAGACACGATTGCCAACGGTGCCTCCTACAGGCCACTGTCGACAGAAAAACTGCAGAAAACAGGGAGAGAGTAAAGGTTGACACGTGCCGAAAACTTTTCACAAATCCAAATACTGTAGTACACTACTACACTGTCCACAGTAGAAGTGAGGAAAGCAAATATTGGCAGGACTAAATGTGAGTCCTCCGTGGGCCACGCCCCAACACTTGAGCCTCAGAGTGTGTGTTTTTTTTTTTTTTTTTTTTTCTGATGTTTTTCGGTCAGGTTCCTCTCTGACCCTGGTGGTCAACCTTTGCGATGGTTGCCCCCCCCCTCCCCACACCCCCCACCCAAACTGTTGTTACATGGTGCTTTAAGGCTACATGTTGTTGCTGTTTTTTGTATGTTGTTGCATATTTTGCAGACGTAGGAACTGTGGGAAATAATGAGTGCTGCTGCAGGTCAAATGACGTTGGTAATTTCTCTTCCTTTTCCATATCTGTCTCTCCTCATCTCCCCTGATCCTCCCCCTCTCTTTCTTCTTCTTCTCCTCCTCCTCCTCTTCCAATCAGTAGAAACCATCTATTGACTCTTTAACGCCACCATCAGTCACTTTTCTGTTTCTGTTTTTTTGCTCCTCGTGCAGAAACGTAAACAACCTGACGAACCATCGGCATTTCTTGTTTTCAATGTAAAGTTAAAAACCTCCATCCACGACATGAACGGTTTAGTATTTTTGATCCAAAGGCAAATACTAAAGTCCTCGGCCGTGCATGCATGTCCATGTGTGTTCTGTTGACTCTGGGACCGGCAGCATCATCTAGTTTGTAACTTTACTACGACGTACAGTGCACTCCGACACCAGCTAGCCTCTCCAGTGGAAATCTGCCCCCCCCCCCGCCCTCTTCCTCATTGTTTAGGCCCACAGCCTCTGCACAGGTGACTGGAGTCGACCTGAACACACACACACTTACACACACGCACATGTATTTTGGCAACTTGTGCTTGAAACTCTTTTTGGATTTTCTTACCTAATTGAAGCAGCTCACGTTTTCACTGGGGCCGTGAACTGGTCACAATCCTAACATCAGGTTAGTCAAATAAAAGAGGAATAAAATGAACCGACGACAGGAATATTTGACTGAATGTTAATAATAAAGTTCACACAGTGCTGTAGAATATTGACATGATATCGCGATATTTTTCATTTTTACTCTTGCATATACAGTATATGTATTTACACACAGTAAATGTGTGAGACGGTGGTCTCTCACACACACACACCCCCCGTCCTCCCTCTCTGTTCACCTCTCCTCCACCGATCCTGTTAATTCTCCATCATTAATCCGAGGCGGTGTCTTCGCCTGCAGTCCAGTCTTCTCACGTTCCTCTAGTCGTCGCCCGTCCGACCGTAGACTCCTCAGTAGTGACAACTTCATGATGCTGATCTTACAGCCGGTCCAGGTGAAGGAACCCAGCTGATCGTTCTCCCCTTTGTTTTCCCTCCACAGCAGAGTGCCAGCACCGCAGAGAAGTTCGACTACGTACGTACACACACTCGGCCGACAGCGCTCGTTACGCCCAGCAAATATTTCCACTCCTTTGGTTTTGTCACTTTAGTCAATACTCTGCTCTTCTTCTTCTGCTGCTGCAGATCATGAACTATCTGAAGAAAATGTCTGGAAATGAATACGTCGGTTTCAGCAATGCTACGTACGTACACACACACACACACACACACACACTTGCCTTCAGTGGTCGCTTTGGTCCAAACTTCTTACAAGAGGCCATTAGTAATATGAGGTTCCTCTGGGAATCGAACCCTCTGCCCTCTGCTCCTGGGGCAGGCGTGTCATCTTCACATATGGCTCAGAGTTTCTCAGACATTTCACACGCAGGTGTGACCTGAACCAACGTGACGGTCCACTGAAGTGAAAAGAAACAGAATCTGTGTTTGGAAATGAAACACCACATACCTTGTGTTCTTGTACTGCACACACACACACACACACACACGTATTTTGGCAACTTGCAACTTGTGTGTTTTCCTCATGTGACAGATTCCAGTCGGAGCGTGAGTCAGGAGATCGGAACTTTGCCATCGGCTACTACCTCAAAGAAAAGAAGGTGAGAACCAGAGCCAGCTGTCAATCACACTGCCAGCTGTCAATCACACTGCCAGCTGTCAATCACACTGTCAGCTGTCAATCACACTGTCGGCTGTCAATCACACTGTCGGCTGTCAATCACACTGTCGGCTGTCAATCACACTGTCGGCTGTCAATCACACTGTCGGCTGTCAATCACACTGTCGGCTGTCAATCACACTGTCGGCTCAGCAGGTGTCGGAGGGTCAGTCGACCAGTTTGTCACCGATGATGTCGGTGTGAATGTAATGAACCTGGTCATGTGACCTTCAGCGTCAGTCTGTCCACATGAGTGTAACGTAGGTGTGTTCTGTAGAACTCGACTGTGAGAACACAGTCGTCCAGACCAGAGAACTGTCAACCGATTGTCTTTGAGCAGCAGGAAAGGTTTGTTCCACGTGAAGAACCTGTTCCACTCACCTGATGAGTTGGTTGTTGTTTGTTTTCCAGTGTTTCCCCGAAGGGACAGACATGACCTCTGTACTGGACTTGTATTTTCAAGTGAGTAAAAATCAACCCCCCCCCCTCCTCCTCCTGCTCCCCCTCTTTAAACTTTACTGGTATCAGGTTTCCTACTGTTGCGTCACCTGGTCCTCTTCAGTACCAGTTCCTGTGTCGACATCAACATTAGTCACCTGTTTCCTCAGACGGCTCCTCCGTAACCACGGTGACAGATGTTCGTCCTGTACTGTAACCCCTCTGTGTCACTGTAGAGCCCGTACAGTCAGTCTGACTGTTGATGTACAGTCGGTCTGACTGTTGATTGACAGGCGGAGCTGAAGCTGACGTCAGTAACTTCACGGTTGTTTTTGTCCACAAACAGCTCTGCTCCATCGAAGTGACCTGTGAGAGCGCCAGCGTGATGGCGGCCACCCTGGCTAACGGTGGAATCTGTCCAATCACGGGCGAGCGCGTGTTGAGCCCCGAGGCCGTGAGAAACACGCTGAGTCTGATGCACTCGTGTGGGATGTACGACTTCTCTGGACAGTTCGCCTTCCACGTGAGTCCGAAACCCAGACGAGATCAGAACCAAACTGAACCGGACCGTGTCTCTCAGGTGGTTCTAGATCAGAACCTGTTGATGAGGTTTTCAGTCCAGTTTGGTTAAAAATGTGACGTTTGATCTGATTTGGAAAAACTGCTGGACACACAGAGAGAGAGACCGGTCTGGACTGGTTTTAGTCTCAACACCTGTAGACACGTCTGTGTGAGAACGTTGTGACTCCCTGAACCTCCACTGTTCCACAGGTGGGTCTACCAGCCAAGTCAGGTGTGTCTGGGGGGATCCTGCTGGTCGTGCCTAATGTGATGGGTATCATGTGTTGGTCACCCCCGCTGGACAAGACGGGAAATTCTGTGAGAGGAATCCAGTTCTGCACGGTACGTGGTGTGAACGACGAGTCGTCTGGAGCCGGTGTCGTTTTCACACGACCTTAAAACCACGTTCAGTGCATGTTTGAAAACAACATTTAAACACGACTCAGAACTTGTGGCAGTTTCTTTCATTCCTTCAACGACACGTGTCTTTCACCTGCTCGTGGTGTCATGTTTGAGGCTCTGTTGTTGTTTGTGGAGGACAGGAGTTCACTGATGTTCTTGTCGTGACAGGATCTCGTGGATCTTTTCAACTTCCACAACTACGACAACCTGCGGCACTTCGCCAAGAAGTACGATCCTCGCAGAGAAGGAGGGGAGCAGAGGGTAAGGACTCTTTATCGCCTTCCACTGGAGAAGTAAAAGAAGTGCGGGGTGTTTTTCTGATCAGATCAATCGGTCCTACACCGCTGACGTGGACCTGTTGTCGTGTCAGAACGTTAGCACGTACAGAGTAGAGCCACGTTGTCCTACTTTGTGTGGCGTTCCCCTCAGGTTCTGTCAGACAGACTGGACGTCCCGCGTCTTTATTCCCTCGTGTTAAAGTTGTCTCTGTCTTTGAACCAGCAACCAGTCTCACATACACAAAAAGCACATACACATACAGCCGCACTCAGGTCTCCAACCTTAGTTTGAGCCACACAAACAAAACTGGGGATGAGAGACGATCCTGCAATGCTGCCATCTAGTGGCTTTCACTTTCATATACAGCTGTTTTTACCCAAAACTATTTTTAGGGCACACGTTATCAGGTTTTCATTATCGGAGGAAAAACCAATAATGTTTTCACGCAGAAATGAACTAATTATGCTATACGCGAGTCCCAATCTTTCAACTTTTAAAGAAGCTCTTCAAACTACATTTGTGATTTTTATCTCTTCACCTCTGTCCAGAGGTGTTTGTATTTTGGAGGATCGGGGAGGGCGGGGGGGGGTTGGAGACCTCTGACGTAGCACACAAACAAAGACAGCAAGGCTGAGTACGGAGTGAGACTAATTTTTTTACCCATGATGATTTAAACAGCAGCTCAGCTTCGGACCCATGGATTACGAGAGCCTTCAGCGAGAGCTAGCTCTGAAGGCCCCCCTGTGGACGAAGGTCTCTCCGACCGAGTCGCACCTGGACAGCTCCACCACTGTAGTCTATAGGATGGACAATGTCAACGAGTGACACGCCCCCATCCACACCTCGTCTCATCCCGCAGCGCCACCTGTCTTTGCCCCCGTGTATTTACAGCCATGTATGCATTCGAATATTTATTGAACTGGTTACTGATTAGATGGAGCAGCAGTGACCCTGGCTCCTCCCCCGTGCCCCCCCCACGGCCTCAGGGTGGGGTCAGGGTCCGAGCTAAAAAAAACTTTCTATTTTTTAAAATTTTCACTCTTTTATCATGTAAAAACAAAACTTTGTTTTTTAATTGTATACAAAATGACAGAGTATGAATGTGTGTGCGTATTGAGACGTGTGAGGGTCGAAGGTCAGCAGACCCCTGACCCTCCGCCGTTGTTCTGATTGTGGTTCTCGCGTTGTTACACGGTCTGTTCTGATGGAACGGTACCTGGTGTTGGACCGGGAACCGTTTTGGGGTCAGATGAGAACAAGACACTACGTCCAGGAAATAGTTTTTACTCACCGTCGTTTGACGTCTCTCATCCCGAGGTGTGAGCCAATCGGAATGGTTTTAAAATTGGATTCGCATGTTTGTTTGTTCACGTTAAAGTTGGATTAACACTGATGTCCAGGGCTGTGCGTCGGCAAGAATCTGGCGATACGAATCACGATACAATATATTGCGATATCATGGACACTGCAAAAATTTTTTTTTAGGTAAGTAACCTTAGCCATGTTACAGGCTAACCTTCAGGATTAGAGTGGCTGTAGATCCAAGTTTGTTCGTTGTGAAGCCTCTGGTCTGAAGACCTCAGTGGGAGCGGGGGGGCGGGGGGGTGCAGCAGCAGTCACAAAACTGTTACAGTAGGGTGTGGTGTGTGTGGGTGTGTGACTGTTTTATCCTTTATCTTGGTGAACGCTGGGTTTGGGCTGTAGCGTATCCTTCCCAGTAGTTTATGGAAGTGGGTCGTGGGGTGGAGGGTTTTTTATTTTTAACGGGTAAAAAAAAAAGTTCCAAATATTTTCTTAAGGATTTCGGTGTTTGTTAAATGTTTATACCTCAAAGAAAAGTAACCTACAGTGTGTATTTGTTACTCACTCGCTGGTAAACTAAAGCGTCAGCTCGCCACCTGCTGGTCTCTCAGACAGGACGTGATTCCAGTATTGAAGTTGTGTCAGTGTTAGGTCTCCGGTCGGTTTGTGCGTCGTTGCGTTTTCCTTTCACGGCTGCTGTTTGTTTGTTTGTTTGTTTGTTTGTTTGTGTCATCAGACCAGAACTGTTCTCAGTGTGAAGAACGTTATAATCCTGACGATTTGTATCACGGACCTTAAAAAATAGACATAAGATGACGATTATGAAAAACCAAAGCTGACCTTTGACCTCAGGGCTCACTCCTCCAGCCTCTAAGTGAATTCACATGGTTCTTCCCAGGTCTATATGACTCCACGTCACACTCCCTCGACACTCCTGTTGTCTGTCAGTTGTTCATAGGTCAAAAAAAAAAAAAACTTCCGTGCTGGTGAGAGTCAGCTGGGAAAAGTTTTTGTTACTCCTAGTGTCGGTCCCTAACGTTAGCTCTGGTGTCTGTAGCAGGACTGTTGTAGCTAACATTAGCTCTGGTGTCTGTAGCAGGACTGTTGTAGCTAACATTAGCTCTGGTGTCTGTCCCAGGACTGTTGTAGCTAACGTTAGCGCTGGTGTCTGTACCAGGACTGTTGTAGCTAACATTAGCTCTGGTGTCTGTAGCAGGACTGTTGTAGCTAACGTTAGCTCCGGTGTCTGTACCAGGACTGTTGTAGCTAACGTTAGCGCTGGTGTCTGTACCAGGACTGTTCTAGCTAACGTTAGCTCTGGTGTCTGTAGCAGGACTGTTGTAGCTAACGTTAGCTCTGGTGTTTTACATTGAGGAGATACTGTGGACTCCTACAAACCCTTTTTATAGCCAACAAGCTATGTGCTGCGCTAAATGCAGTCAGTGAATTCTGTGAATCTTCTTAGTGGCCGGCAATCAGACCATAGGTGCATTAGTGTATGTGTGTGTGTGTGTGTATATACAGTATTGGGGAGGGGCACATTATTTATGTGGGGGGGGGGTCATTCAGTGGTTGTTTGATGAATGTTTGGCAGTGGTGTGAGTGACAGTCGGACATGCATGGTGGTCAGGTGTAGCTCGTCTGTGATGTGATCAGACGTGGACACAGCAGAGACACGAGCCACATGTTGTATTTTCACCAACGCCGCTGCTGTCTCATGACTCTGATTATTTCTCAGTAATTAAAGAGAAAATATGAACCGCAGTATTTTAGTTTAAATCCTCATATCCTCACTGCTTAATTTTTCTTCATCATTTTTTTTTTGTTTGATTCACCCTGATTGGTGCATGACCTCTGTATGATTTATTTGCCAATGTCTGTTTAATACCATGTCATTTTAATTCTGTTCATCTTTGTTTCTCATCAGTTAAGTTCATTAAACGTTCTGTTTTGTTTTTTTCCCCATGAATTTTAAGTAACGGATAATTTGCATTTACTTTAAAAATCCATTGCACCCTGAGTTTTTTGGAACTGTAAGGTTCTCTAATGTGTTTATAAAAACTACAGAGATTTATGGAAAATTAATATCAATTCGTTTTTCCACCACTGGGTGTCCAGATGAACAAACAGTTCCAGGCTCGGGGCTGCTGATGGTGTTGATCGTTTGTTTTTGTCTGTCAACATGGATATGATTTCTGCGAATCTAAATCACTGTGATTCTGTATGTAACATCACCCTGCGCTGTTGACTGTGGCGACGCCGCCCCCTGGTGACGGCCGTCGGTCTTTTCACCCGTAATGTTTCCCATGTATGAAGTCCAATAAAGCGGTGGTCTGTGACGTGTCTTCTGCTGTGCCACCAACTCTTCTTTGTGGTCTCTGATATCTCTGGTTTCCTCAGGGATTTCCTTATTTTATACACGGAGATTTGCATGTCAAATATTTTGTTGAATTCCACTTTTTTGTAGATTAGCTGGTACTGCCTGTGTGTGTGTGTGTGTATATATATGCAGATATGTGTATATATATATATAATTTTTTGACAGGTGCAAGTGCTGTGCTGTACTGTAAACTAGTCCAATGTATTTCCCCCAGAAAATTGGGTCGAGTGTAAACGTGGACTTCCGTTAACCGGATCTTATCCCTTTCCTCTGGACCTCCCTAACTGCCGACTTTTCAAATATCAAAGTGCAGACCTGTTTCAGCTACAGGTACTTCTACAAATACCGCGCGGTTCAACAGTGGGCCGCGGCCCACTTTTTCAGTCTCTGCCTTTAAGCCTGTGTTCAAACAACCCTGTGATTACCACTGGATCGCACCACAGTCCTGCCCAGGACCAGGATTCAAACCAGCAGCCATTACTTACTGATGACTGGTAAGTTTAGTGCGTCAGCTGTCACAAGATGGAGAAAAAAATGAATCCCACGGTTAACTCCGTCATCTGAGTACACAAAGTAAAAATGACATCCATCCCATAATAAACCATTGATTTCCCTGCAGCTGATGTTGTAGTGAAGTTTGATGCTAACCTTTCACCAGCCCATCTCTCTCCCTCTGTCTCTGTGTGTCTCTGTGTGTCCGTGTCTGTGTCCACCCTGGTCCACAGGTCAAGTCCGTCATCAACCTGCTGTTCGCGGCCTACACTGGAGATGTGTCTGCCCTCAGGAGGTGAACACAGGAATTGAATTTATTTAAGCCTTCCAAGGGTCACGGGGGGGTAGTGCTCGTTTAAAAGTAGGGATGTCCGATCTTAACTTTTTGACAAAATCAGATGTCCAAACACATACATTTCGGATTCCGATATCAACCATACCGATATATTGGGGCAGTGGTGGCCTGGTGGTTAACGAAGTTAGGTTAGATGGATTAAAGCAGTCTTTCTCAATTATCTTATGCTATGCGCCCCCTAGCGGACCAAATACGTTTTTTCACTCCTCCTGCTGGTAATACTTATTTATTTATCAGTACAAACCACTGTATGAGTTGCTGACACCAGTATTCTGTATACAATCCCCTGATTATTAAAATAAAATGAGCTGTAATGCTGCCATCTAGTGACTCACTTCCACATACAGCCGTTTTTCCCCAAAACTATTTTTAGGTCACACAGCATTTGGCTAAACCCAGGTATTGTGTTATCAGGTTTTCATTATCGGAGAAAAAAACCCAGAGCGACCCTTACGGATCTTACATAATTATGCTAATATCGTGTCAATAATATTGGTCGACCGATATTATCGGACATCCCTATTTAAAATGATTTTAAATCACCACTTAATGTTATACAATACATTTAGCAATGTGTGTGTGTGTGTGTGTGTGTGTGTGTGTGTAGATTTGCCCTTTCATCCATGGACATGGAACAGAGGGATTACGACAGTAGAACAGCGCTCCATGTGGCAGCAGCTGAAGGTGAGTCTCTCACTGTTTCCTGTTGTTAGCATTGTTGTTGGGAGATGTTGATAAATTAGCACTCGTTACTCTGTGACCAGTTTAGAGTTGGCAGTAAAACTGGTCAGCGGCCCAGTTAGTCTACAGACTGTACTGTACTGAACAGAGTTCTCACGTGTTCTCCTCAGGACACATCGAAGTGGTCCGGTTCCTCCTGGATGCGTGTCGGGTGAATCCTGTTCCCAGAGACCGGTGGGTCCATTATTTTAACCTATATTGTTGTGGTCAGAACCGCACTGAAACTATACTTTTAATATTTATATATTCAAAATAATGTAACTTATACTTTAAATATTTATATATTCAAAATAATGTAACTGGGGGCGCTATAGTCTCCTTAACCTCCGTTATTTCGCGAAGGGAACTTCCGAGAGATTTATAAAGTTTTATCTATCTTTGTCCATCCATCGTGATGCAATTGTAGGTCTCCCACCTGCCAGCAGAGGGCTCCAAAACACACAGTCATTTAAATGACTTGAGTTTAGATTTAAATACTGCAGATGAATGAAAAACGGTCAACGTCAGTCAAACAACAAGATTCAAATATCGCAGTATCGATGTAGTAACACTCATGATCGCGTGTATAATCATTTTAAACCTGTCCTCTTCTTGTGGTGCACAGATGGGGCAACACCCCCATGGACGAAGCCATGCACTTTGGCCACCATGATGTGGTGGTTCTCCTGCAGGAGAACTCTGACAGGTACAGCCCCCCCACTGAGGCCAGTGATAAGGACAGAGATGAGAAGAGTCTGGACAGTCTTCTGTAAACCTGCTGGAATCGCTTTGTTAGCACTTTGTTAGCACATTGTTAGCACATTGTTAGTACATCGTTAGCACATCGTTAGCATCAAAACAGGACCTGGTTTTCCTCTTTTCTTTCTGAGCTCTGCTCTCTGGCTGTTCGTCAGAGCTCCACCTGCTGGATGTATTGAAGTGTTGGTCTAACATAGTGGACAGTCTGCAGTACTGTACATTCCTTATATAGAACATTAGAAGTAGCTCTGTACTCTGTCGTCTGTGTACTGTACTGTACCTGCACTCGTCATCTCCTAAACATTTGGTTCAGTGCAGAAAAGGTCACCTGGTCTCCAAGTCACCTGGTCTCCTGACCTGCTGTTGCTTATTTACAGACCGACCTGCAAAAAATGTCTGTGCTACAACAGCTGCTTGTACAGTTAGTAGTTTAAATGGGACGTCGTTAGCAGTAATTAGATGTAATTGGTTTGATAGGTTGCATTTTGTGGGCATTGATAACGAAGTCTCCTTACTCGTGTATCGCTGAGTCAAAAGTACTAGGAAAAATGTAGGAATTTAGGCTAGCTACTGACTCTTGACTGCAGAATCTGCGATATCAAATCTTAGCGTAGCGTGTTTTGGGGTTCTAACGTCTAGCCTGGATATCACTCTTGGGATTTTGTCACCTTCTTGCATGTTACAGATGCTTTAGCAGTGCATTAGCACTTATCGTGTTAGCTTCAAGTGGTGTGCTACCAGTTTGTATCAAATAAGCAGATTGGTAACTATGCTAGCACCTAGCCTTATAGCTGTGAGTGTTGGCTAGGTCAAACTGTCCTCAGTTTTACAACCACAGCGTTGATCTCTCCTTGGTCTCTACAGCCAGTGATAACAATCGTGTGAGGTGCATTACTGCCACCTATTGGATACATTTTATGGAGCTACATTTTGCATCAGTAGGATGTTAATTAGCAGGACCACGTGGGCTTCCCATCACATTTGGAAAATTCCGAGATAAAATTCAGGAAAAACAAGGCTAAATGAAATCCTCCGTTGGATGGCGTGACTTTTTTGCAGGCCAGTGTGGGTGTGGCGTACTACAATACTTTACATGCAGTACTCAGTGGCGTGTACTAATTCATATACAGTAGATATTAAAGTGTGTTTTGTGGTTCCTGTGTTGATGGAACAACGGTTTTCGTTTTTAACGTTGTACGTACGTATATTCTTCTGGTGTTTGTTTATATTACACACAAAGACCGACAATATATAGAAACACAGTCGACAGGACACACGCGTATGCTCTCACATTCCAAGTAGCTTTTTATTTTGGCTATTGAAAATTGATGAGGTTAATAAAAATCATCCAATCACATTCCTTCAGATCATTGATTCACAGGTCGGTTTCCCGTCAACAGATTCTTCTTATTTAAAGAAAAGTCTGAAATTGTAGAAGAATGTATAATGGCTTTGTTTACATTTCTGAAAATATGAAATATGAATGTTTGTGAATAATTTCCTGTTTGCTTTTTCTCCCGGAATCCCAAGAGCTTATAGCTAATCAGTAGGTACGTAACGATGCATGGTGGATCGGCTAAAAATCGATACAAATCTGTGACAATTCACATCGGTTGAACTAAAAAATGTATTTTCTTTTGTTGTTCCATATATTGACAGTTAGTGATTAGGATTTTACAGAGTTCTTACAAATAAAAGATCTTTGGATTTGGCCACAATATGTCTGGAGCACCTTTTGGTAAATAAATCGTATTCTGATTTATTTATTTTTTTCGTTCTGCTAAAAAAATCGTATTCTGATTTATTTATTTTTTAAATCGTGAATAGTATCGTAAATTGAGTGCATCGTTCCGTCCCTATTAATCAGTAAATATTTTTGTCCTATAACAGAGGATTATATATTCAGCAAATTTATGTAACTGAAAATCGTATTTTGAAAGTGGGATTTGTTCAAATGTTTATTTTAATAAAACAGAAACAGATGACAGAGAGTTTCCACAGCGTCATGATTTCACAGTATCGTCTGCTTCATACCTCAGAGGTCAATTTACGACATGTTACATGTTCTAGACTTGGACAGATCAGTTCATCACCAACACAGAACAGCTGGTTCATCACAACCACACATCATCCTTACTCAGTCCTCTGCCTTCAAGTATCACTGTATCACAACTATCGCAGCTGCTAAAAACATCATTAAACATGTAAGCTGCGTCGCTCAGTTTTCGTCCAGATAAAGTGTCTCCCTCATGTAGCGGCAGGTCTGCGCCATCAGATCAACACTCCTCCCTCTGGAACATCATATTTTTAATGTGCTCCACTTTTCAAGTTTGAATAATATCGGTCTGATATTAGTATAATTATGTAATATCGGTAAGGGCGTTATCGTTTTTTCTTCTGATAATGAAAATCCGGTAACACACTGCCTGGGTTTTGCCAAACTTGCTGGTATCGCACGTAGGGTCCTGAGACGTTTACCTCATTTTAGGAGCAAACAGCTGCATATATCCGTATCAGTTGATATCAGAATCGTCTTTGGACAATACTGGCATATCAGACATCAGCAAAAAGTTCATATCAGACATCAGCAGTTCATATCGGACATCCCTAGTTTTCTCAGTACAGTACGGAGAGACTGGCCACAAACACAAAAAGATATATATATGTTTAAATATTTTACCAACATTTAAACTTCATGTACTTGTTTCAAGTTAACTTGTTTACATTCTGCATTACGAATACCCTTGTTTTTCAAAGTGTGACGTGGGCCTCCGCTAGGCGGCGCTAGAACCATTAAAAAGGTGCAAAAAAAGTTTAAAACGGGACATGTAGACTGTCAAACTTTCATGGTAATGAAGGAGGCCATCTGCTGAAGAACTGAGGAAGTACAACAACGTTCTTCATTCATTCAAGTTTGTGGTCAATTTTGTACCTTGAGAACTCCAATAATAATAATACTTGGCCTTTTGCATCTGTATGTGTTTATGTGTGATCGTATGGGTTAGGGTTAGGGATAACAGTAGAATTTTTTTTTTTTTTATGGAATATTACAACCAGTACACAGAACTTTTCATCCAAAAGAATCCAATGAGCCTCTCCTCAGGAGCAGCTGTGATGATCGGTACCAGGTACAGCTTGTGTTACGGGAGTTCTCCAAATGATCCAGGTGAATCCAGGAGGTCCTGAATTAATTCCTCTAAGAGCTGAGAATCCAAACAACAAACAAAAACTTATTGCATTGTGGGATACTTCCATGGACTGAAAAAAGCCACCGCAGTGGTCAAAATACTGATACACAGAAATATGTAAATTTATTACGTTTTTTTTTAAAAAAAAACCTCAATATATTGTTGTGCTGAGAGTATCGCAATATATCATACCATAGTATCATATACCCTTGTATCATACCCAGTGTTAATCCAGCATGTATTGTTTGTGTAAGGTTACTTACTTACTTAAAAAACCAAGTATATCGTCATGTCTATAGTATCGCAATATGTGGTATTGTTGCCCCGTATCGTGATGAGCGTGATATCGCTTGAGTCTTGTTAATACATAGGAGGTAAATGCTGAGACTAATTTGACTTAAAATTTTGAATCTCACCCCCAGGTCCGTGTTCAAGTCCAGGTCCATATCCATGTCCTGAGGCGGAGATGAAGGTGGAGTAGGGTAGCTGTGGAGGGAAACAGTAACAATAACACACTCTTCAATTGAGCAGCAGTGAAGAACACAAAGGTCAAAGGTGAGTCGGGTCACTTTATGTCTTACACTGGGATGGGAACCAGTTGTCTTTCGACGTAACCGTTGAGGTCTTTTTTAGTCAGCTTTTCTGCAGGAAATAAAAAAATATATATCAAGATTCAAAGTATGGCAGTACATTACAGATACTCCTGGCCTACATCACTGAACCAGCCTCCGGTAGAAAAGTATGTGAGCGGATACCACTACTGTAGTATGGTCCAAACGCCACGTCTCTCGGTGTTTGTGGGTAAAGGTAAAGCAGAGGATTCGTCAAGATCCCTTGTACTGTCATACTGAAGAGACGAAGGGTGTCCGGCAACGACATGGCCGACAGGTCCTTCTTGGTGCACGGCGCAAGGTTGTGTACGTGGGTCTCTGCGGAAAAAGTTAGAGAAGTACTCAAAATACTATCAATTCTACCAGTCTCTAATTAGTACTAAATATTTCAGTAAATCTAAGTCTTTTTTTAACTTCACATGTGTATATATCTGTTTTTGTTTTTAATAACATTTTGAAGTATTATTTTGTGGGGTTTTTTTTTCAGGTTTTGGAGGCGTGTTTTAGAGACGTTAAGCTAGTTCGTTGTACTGCTCTATTCTATTCTAACTAATCTAACACAGATGCGGCGCAGATATTTAATTTAATTATTTTTCTTCCGATTTTAAGCTTTTTATTTTTTATTAAGGTCTTTTTATTGATTCATGCGGTAAACGGCATCCAAAGCTGAATCAACGACGGTGGTTTCGGCCGCTCCACCCCCCTCTCCCAGTCCTTTTGGACTATTCCGTCTTACTGCGCACGTGCAAACAAGACTCAGGAAGACGGAAGCAAAACAAACTGTTTAGCGCGATGTTCGAGAGAAACGAAGCGGCGTTGAATCAGTGGAATTGTGAGGAGCGGAAGTTGTGGCGAAAACAAACGTTTTTAATCGTGACGGTCGTTTTCACTTTGACTCATTACGCAAGAAAACAGTCAGTGACAGAGAGTCGTCACGTTGTCAACGGCAACGTCGCCCCCTAACGTCAGTGTCAGTGTCTTCAACGTCACAAAAGATGTGAGTATTTAAGTTTGTTCATAACACACTGGGGGAATTCCGTCGTGATGGCAACTGGTGATATTCCAGCAAGGAATAAAGTGACAAAGTTACAGTGCATGTAGAACAAAGTAAAAATAAAAACTATCTGCAGTGTAGCTATGTGCAGGCTTTTAAATGGTAGACAATGTGTATTGTTGATATTCGTTTAAATTAACGTTATGCCAAAAACAAAAGTTTTAAAATTTACCGAGGGTAAAGTATTTAATCTGAGCTAACCGTCCTTACAAACAAAGTTATCGTTTATTCTCGACGGAACTGAACTTTATTTTGATGAAATAATTCTCTAATTCTCTAACCCTGATTCTTCACACTCCAGCCAGTAGGTGGCGGTAAATGCACTGTTGTTGTTTTCTATGGTCATGACGTTGACATTTCGTGCACATTCTATTAAATACTGGTATTTAATTATAATTATTTTACCTATACTTCATACATGAAACTAAGAAACTTTCTGATGCTCCGTTTGTCATTTACCGTGTCCTAACGTTAGTGTACGAATATAAAAACGTACCACCAGCGGAGTGTTCGACCCAGCTGAAGGTGATGGCTCCATCTTTGATACTCTCACTGAAGCGGAGCAGAAAAGTACCGCTCACTCTCTCTTCCAGCAGCACCTGCGTCGTCTTCCGGCTCACGAACCCCATGATGTACCTGTCGACACGCAGGGAAAGGTGAGGACGTTTGAGCATCGTCTCCTCGTCAGGGTTAGCGTTTCCAACTCAGGACAAACAGAGACTTTGGTTTGGATGAAGGCGTTACCCGTTGTGCCAGAGGTCCAACAGGTGTTTTTTAATCAAATCCAGGATGGCGTCGATCCAAATCCACACATTGTCGCTCTGATGCAGAGGAAACATGGAAGGAATTATAAGAACAAAACAGAGAACAGAGGAAAATGTTCAGACCACGGCTCGTCCTCCACATCCGTCCTCCACATCCGTCCTCCATTTACCTTGAAATTACTCCAGTGAACGAGACCGTCAGATTCATCTGAGAAGAAACAGAGTCCCAGTCAAACAGCAGCTCCTCTTTCTTGGTTAAAAAACTATTTTTAGGTCAAACGTAAAACCCAGACATTGCGTTATTGGGTTTTCAATAACAGATATTACATAATTTTGCTAATATCGGTTGGCAGATATTCCCTCGCCTGCCTGTGAATGTTTTTCATTCATATACATACCCACAATTTTATCTCTCAGCATGGAGAGCTGCTCATCGTCCAGTCCTCTCTTGCCGACAGATAGAAATTGCCAGCTGAGGACCTGTGACAGCTGCTGCCACGTCACAGTAGGGGGGGGTTTGAGGAACAACAACAAGTTCTGAAGAACAAAGAGAGGCAAGCAACAGAAGTTGGACAACGAAGTTGGACAACGTCACTTCAGATCGTCCTTCACTTTTGTACTCCAGTACCTGGACCTGTTTGGTGCTTTTACCTGTTGTTCACTTGTAGACAGCATGTTCCGCCACATGACCGACGCCCGTCAGTAATCTCAGGGGTAGCAGAGACGACCACCAGGGGCAGCGAGCTGACCTGTACAAACGAGACAGCTGATCCATGAGTGACCCGCAGACCGTTTTTTTTCTCTCTGACTCTGAAAGAACTTGGTGACGATACTGACCTCGATGTTGAACGTCAGTCCATCGAACTGAAGACACGTCGCAAACTTAATGATGTGGAACTCTTCGGTGACCAAGATACTCTGCTGAGGGAGGAATCAGGGAGCGTCCAGTTAGACCCAGAACTGGGCAAAAGTTTGAGCCAGGTCTCAAGTCTTTGGTCACAAGTCCAAGTCTCAAGTCTCCTGTGTGCGCGACTTAAATGTGACTTGAGTTTGAGTCGCAAACACACATCCCCGTCTCTGCCGTATGAGACCCTAACCATGCAGTGAGACCATGAAGTCCTTTATTAACCAGCCATGGTAGAGGATCGGGCTTGAAATCAGAGGGCACAGGTTTGAATCCCACTTTGACTGGCTGTGGTGTTTGAGGAAGTACCGTTTGTACCGTCGTGGGTTGATGAGGACAAACTCTGTTGTGTGTACGTTACGGCTGTGCACCGGCAAGAATCTGTCGATACGCTACGTATCACGATGCAGGGGCGATACAATATATTGCGATACTATAGGTGTGAGGATATATTGAATTCTTTGTAGTCAAACTGTCATCATAGTAAATTTCAATGTATTGATATCTTCTTACACCCCCTAGTGTATACTTGTAAAATGACAATCAAGGCAACTGATAGAAGTAAAGTGAGAACAAATTAATTCATTTAAATTTAATAATTTTTATATTTTCTTACCTCACATGATCGGCTGCCCCATGTTTTGATTTCTTTGAGCGTCTGAAAGAAAAGAATAAAGAGGTTTGTCCTTCACACTACGGTGTAATAATAAAAGTCAGTACTTTATCTAACCCCACCTGCTGGTGGATTTTCCTACCATTTGTACGAACTCCGTCACTAGGCTGTCACCAGAAGTCTCTACGTCCATCACCTTACTCTCCTCCTTGTTGAGTTCAAACTGGCGCAGGCTGAAATGAAAAAACGATCAGAAAAAGACGCGTCACAAATGTTTAGCTAGAGATAGAGATAAAAAATGCGGCGGCTGCCTTTGTACGCACCCATGAGTTTGGATGATTTCTTCGATGTCCCTTATGACGATGTCATGTAAAGAGCAGAGAGCAATTGAATACAGTAAAAATACATAACATACAATGTCAATACTGGACGAGAGCAGAGCTTGAACTGGACTTTGGCTTACTTGTCGAAAAACGGTTTGATTTTGAGCAGGCATCTGAATTCAGGGAGGTTCACCAAGAACCTGAGAAACCAGAAAAACCAGAAAAAGATTGATTCATTGTGGTAGAATTATGGTAGACCGATATTAGCATATCAACTAAACAAAGACAGGAAGAATATCTTTTAAATAAGGATTTCCGATATTTTTGGACGACCGATATTAGCATATCAACTAAACAACGAAACATTACATGTAGTTTTTCTAAGATTTATGTTTGGTGGTGTGCTGTGTGGTTTTTCCTGATGGTTCAGGAAAAGGTTGGGAAACACTTATTGCATGTGAGGTGTGCCTCCTCTGGGGGGCGCCACAGCAGTCTTTAACTTTGATGAGAAGGCAGAGATGGGGGGCCTGTTGTTGTTTAGCCCAGACTAGACATTGAATTTGTCCAAATCAATAAATAACTTGTTTTTCATCAGACCATAACGTCAGGCGCAGTCTCACCTGACCGTCACTGAGAAGCGCACTCCAGTCTTGATCACAAGAGGTCGCTGTGGTGTATTGCCCATTGCAGGCTGTTTCTCAACGATAAGGGCGCTGTGACACAGAACCAAAAGGACATTGGTTACTGTCAGGTGACTTTCATCAGTTCTTGTTCTCACGTGTGGTTCTGGTGACCGACTTTGTAAGCAGATTGGTGAGCAGAGTAACGGCGAACTTCTGTGTTTGTTCAAGATGTACGGACAGATCTGGATGCTTGTACTTCCTGTTCTGTTCTTGGAGTTTGTGGAGGAGTCGGCGTAAACAGAGGATTAACTCTGCCACATCTGTGAACCTGCACACGAGAACAGGAGAACAGGATTTACAGGTCATGGTCAAAAAGTCCTCAGATGTTGAATATTATACTGTATAAAACTGTACTGTGAGTTTGTAGTAGAGATGGAAACAGAGGTGACAATTTTTTTTTCCTTTGTATGTCTATGATCATTGATCAAACAAACAAGATGAATTTAAAATTTTAATTTTTAAAATGCATTGCTAAATATATTATTTTAAATATTGTTTGTTAAAAATTGAATAATTGTGATGAATTAATCAATTATTTTCAAAGCAAATAAGTAATAGGCAGATGTGTAAGAAAATAACAATGCATTGAAATATTGCAATATTTCATTTCCTGATCCCGTATCATCCTCCTCCACAGTCATTGATCAGTTTTTGATTTTTTTTCTCTCCAATTCCCAGTCCAATATTCCTGGTGTCGGTTCACTTCCCTTTTCTTTTCTTTCTTCTCTAGTGATTCCAAATGTAGTTCCCTCTGTTCCAGTGTTAGATGGAACAGAGTCTGAGACTAGGATCACACTGGGACTACTGTTACACTGGGGGAAAAAACTCCATATATAATTGTACCTGTAGTATCTCAATATATCACTGTTTATCCTTACTTTGTCCCTGTATCGTGATACGTACTGTTACACTAGATTCTGGATACAGACACAGATCGCAATATATCGTATCGTGATACGCTTCGCATCGATTCTTGCCAACACACAGCCCTAGTGATTAGATATTCTAATGAATGGCGTCCCCAACCCGGGCTCTTGTGTGTTCTCACCACTTCTGCAGGTGGAACACGCAGGTGCTAACCGGACTTCCAATACAGGCCAGCTGCTGTCGGTGCCTCCACTCCGGCAGCTCCTCCTCCGTCAGGATCTTGACGATGCCCTTCAGCTGTTGTAGAATGTTCACCACATCCTTGAGCAGCACCTGAAACCACGGCACAATTCATTAGATGCGTTATTTTTAAATGGTTTAAACTTGTTGTCAGGTACTGTTGAAGTACTCGAAGGTAAAACGTTTACTAGAACGCAGGTACGACACAGAACTTTGAATGTAACTCAGACCATAGGAGCCGTACGTTGTTTCACCGATCGATTACTTTAGTTTTGATTTGATGGGTCTGGTTGTCATGGTGATGTGTGGCATCTGGGTCAAGTGGGCGCGGTACACGGAAGTTTAGCGTTTATCACTGGATAAACTGGAGTGTGACTTTGATTTGAAACTTCTCTGAACTGCGAACCTGACTGATTGTCTGGAGGTTGAAGTTGAACTCTCCCTGGGCGAGGTCAGCGACGGTCGCTAACGCTTCTGAAAATAAACCACAAAGAAAATAAAGATAAAACAACAACTGAGCCTGAACTGTGACCACACGTCAGCATCGGTTTTATTAACGCACCTCGGCGTCTCTTGGTCCCCACGGCGTGGTTGTTAGTCATTGATGACATTTTTGTCTTTATCTCCTGTGGAGACGTTTTTTAAAAAATGATCATTTCATCATTGACTACATTTTGTTTGTGATTAAAAAAAAACCATAGTTTACCAAAGTCTGTCTGAGCAGCAGGTTCATCCTGTTGTCCAAGACTCTCCATTTGTCTTTCACCAGTGGACTGCTGTGGTGCTGCGGGGCACAGACCAGAAACACTGCACGTCACCATTGATCTCCTCTGATTAATTGTCGTTAATTGGCGTTTGTATCGATTTCCAACCTATTCACGATGTGTCGTTAAATCACTAACAGGAGACCACGTGCTCAAGTTAAACACCAAACTATTGTACACTTCACTACCTGCTCCTGCGAGGCTGACGACAGGACTTTCTTTTCCTCGTGTAGACACTCAGACAGGACTTTAGCCAACTGCAGCGGTGATTCCTCAAAGTGGTTCTGGTTCAAACAAAACCAACAAAATGAAACGTTTTAGCTGCTCGGATAAAAGAACACAGTGAAAATCGGATCGCGGTGTTTTTTCCCTACCACCAGATAATCTTTTATCCCGGGAAAATCAGGATCCTTCAGAATTCTGCCTTCCACGAGGGAACGGTTACACTGATCCTCCAAATAACACTGCAGACTTTGGAAACAAATCCTGGCTTTGTTTTCATCCGCAGCTGCCGAATCCCTGGCACGAGGCAAAAGAAAATTATTTATGATAAATATAGTTTACAAAAAATGTGTTTGTGTATATTTTATATATTTATGTATACACGTGTGTATATATAAATATGTAATGATAACAATAACCATTTGTTATTATTACTATTACTATTACACTACTATTACTACGATATTATTTTGCATATAGCGTGGACCCCCTCGATACAAACTTCCTGAAATACGAGTATTCCATGTTACGAGTCTGCAACTGTTGCAAGATCTTTTTCCTGCGTGACTCTCACCAGTCCTGGCTCTCTATGAACAGGCACAGGCAGTGGCGGATGTGTCGAGGGAACTTCCTGTCGTAGAATTGACCCAGTTCCCCCTGGAGCAAGTTGAGCCTCAGCAGCTCCATCCACTGGGCCATCTGTAAGAGCCAATCACAGACCCGTGTTAGCATGTAGTCCGCAACCGCGTGGAAAACAAACCGGAACCTGGTATCGACACCCCCACGAGTGCCTGAGTGGCAGTGTCAGTTCACGGACACAGCGTCGTACCTCACTGTGCCACCTGTGGGCGCTCTGTGAACATGGACTGATCACGGATCGGATCCTATCAGATAGGAGGTGTTAAGACCCACTGGTCACGGGAAAGTGTTGCGCTATTTGTAATACTTCCGTCTTGTGCTCCAGTCTGTCCCTCGTCGTCGGTGCATCAGCACAGACAGTGTCAGTTGTGGGATATGCAGTATTTTAGGATTTTTAACAAATGCAATTGTTATCAATAATTGCGTCACCAAATAGCAGGTCGCTTATACTGGGTTATTTATGAAAAGCATACTTTATACTCAATCAGCTTATTAACTCCAATAAGCGGAAAACGTTCGAAATCGCCGTCAACAATAACAATACAACAAACAGCCGTGGCCCGCGATCCTCAACTTGTCGGTACTTGATCATTTGGGGTTAATGATTCGAATCTTTTCGATTTTATCAACCTGGATCCTATGAGCCATACAACAGGCGTTTAAAAAAAAACAACTTATAGCTAATGCGATCTAACTTTTGGGTCAGTTGGCGAGATCGTTCTCGTGACGCGTTCAATAAAATAAATATGAAGTTGAAGACTGTTTATTGACTCAGGTTATAACCCCTATCAACTAGTTGAACTGTTTTGTTGACCGCCATTTTTATTATTTTCTTAACCATAATTGCGCCGTGCATTAGTGGATTTCACTTTTTTAAATAAATGCATGAATGTGATTTTTTTCTCTTTTTTTCCATTGTTGCAACGCACATTACAGATAGAGAACAAGCATTTCCTCGAATCTCAGATAAACAGATAAACAGATAAAGCCGCTGCGCTTACCTTGGCTGTGTCCTGGTCTGGCTGTTAAATTAAGTCCACAATCTACGTCTGTCCTCTGAACTGATATACAGACCAGACAAACTGCGCCCGGTATTTATAATACACCCCTCCCGCGAACCACGTGATTCGCGAGAAACGCTCTGTCGGTGCTGTCAAGGTTACTGTCGTTCACACCGCCTCCACTTCCGCTTGCGAAAGGAAGCGCTTGGATTTTAATTTGGAGCTCAGACTCTTTATCCGTTAGTTTTACTTGGGGTTTGTAGCGTGTATAAAGACGTATATAAACTCTGATTTTGCTGAGTAGTCGTTACTGTAGCTGTGAATCATTTTGGAAACCCCCCTCACTCCGATTTGCTTACTTCCTGTTAGCGGACCTGGTTTTCATAACAAACTGTATAAAATATATGTGGTCGAACTGGTTCAGACACATTGTCAGCTAGTATATACTGTAGGTACATGCAGTACGTACACTGACAATATAGGTGTACACAGTTGTATTTTTGTAGACCTGCCATTACGAAACATGTTTTTTTACTGCACAGGTCGGAATAAAGTTATAGCGAATGTTAGCATCACATGTTAAGACATGCCAGGGTACTTTATAGAAACTTTAATGATTCATACAGATAAAGATGAAAAACATGTTTTAACATTTTAGACCAACTGAAGAATTCAGGAATGATTATTTATATCATTATATATGTCTGAAAAACCCCCCAGAATAAACATAAAATGAATGCACACAGAGAACAAAGCATATTTAAATACAGCAGAATATATATTATAATATAAAAACGAGGGATGTCCGATATCAACTTTTTGCCCATTTGCCGATATTGTCCAAACACTTTCCAATTCCAATATCAACCGCTGGGTGAGGAACTTTTCAGCAGAACACTCAGCGTCTCAGTCTCATTCTGAGTACGGGGGGCTGATCTGTAGGGCGGGAGATGAGTATCAGATTACAACTGGAGTTTCTTCAAAAACATGACAGCGTTTCATCTAGTAAATTGGCTGCGATGTATCACAGTCGTATAATTACACCTACTGTGTCAATGTCGAAGCACAGGTGTTCACTGAGCATGTGGAATTCACCTGGAGTCATTGGAGGCTCAGGAGACTGACACGGAGGAGGCGTGGTGATGGACCTGGAGCTGGATTACACCGACAAACACATGCATTCACCAGTGTGAGAATAACAAGGTCCGGTAGGGACGTAACGATGCATCGTGAAGTGGTTAAAAGTCCATACAGATTTGTGACGCATCGGTTGAAAAAAAAAAAAAGTTCCTAATTTTTAAAATCTTTTTTGTTTGTTTCATATATTGACAGTTAACCAGGTCAATCAGACCAGACTAGTTTGACTTTTAATCAGAGGAGATCAATGGAAAAAAAAAGTGATAAAATCGTATCGCAAGTTGAGTGTATGGATACATCCCTAAGTTCCAGGGGTCAAGAGTCAGGGTCAGTCATCCACTCACCGTAGTTCTGAGATGGGAATCAGTGTTGATGGAATGTACGGATGGACTGAAAATTGAACAGAGATACAAAGGACATTGATTTTTTTTCTTCTTTTTTTTTTCTCATTGATGTCACTGATTGTTTTTCACACTTGCCTTTACTGGGCTGACTGTTGTAGAGCGGACCGAAGGCCTCGTCTTTTGGGATGTGGGGATAGAGGAACTTTAGTGGGTTCTCTGGAACCACTCCGTCTGAGATCACTTTATAGTCTCGTATGATGTCTGCGAATGGGAGCGCGCTGAGGCGGTTCTTAGTATACGGCTCCACGGAGTTGAACTTGACGTCCCCTGTTGGTGAAGAGGGCACACATCATTTGGCAAAACCCTGGTATTGCGTAATATGTTTATTATCGAAGGAAAATTATTACGATAACGATTCTTAGAGATATAATTATGCTAATATCGGGCCAATAATATCTGTCAGTGAAAGTTTTGAAAAATATATACATACATATATATGTATAAATGTGAATCTTTACAAATAGTTCTGTCATCTGAGCGTTCTTATTGGTTGGAACTGAGGTCTTAAACGGGGACTTGGCCGTCAGATGTCTGGAAGGTGATGTAAGGAAACAAATGTGTTGTTGTTTAGTTTTTTTGTTTTTTTAAAGGGTGTGTCACCGTTGCCGTTGTGTTCCACCCAGGTGAAGGTGATTCCTCCCAGATGACTCTCACTGAAACGTAGCAGGAAGGTTCCTGGTTCTTTGTCCTTGAGAAGAATGCGCTCCATCTCCTTACTCACAAAACCCATAATGTAGCTGAAGAAGGTGAGAGAGCGAAAAAGAAAGAAAGAAAGAAAAAAAAGAATGAAAACCTGTTCTTGTTCTTAGAATGAGGAGCTGAAGAATCTGTTTCACCGATCGATGACATCATTTGGTATTTGAGTCACACGGGTGCGGTAGACTGAGGTTAAGGGTTTATACGGGCATGTGTTCAAGCAGGAGAGAGGCGGAGTTATGGTCGCCGACATTTCTGTTGAACACGTGTGTGTGTGTGTGTGTCTTCTGTCTTACTTCTCGTTCCACACCGGCAGCAGGTGTTTCTTGATGAGCTCCAGGATGGAGTCCAACCACATCCAGAAACTGAAGGGCTTCCCTGAAATGTTCTCCTGAGGGGGGAGAGAAAAGGAGGGTGACAGAGGGAGACGGGGGAGAGAGGACACATAAAGACGTTGATTTAAGAAAAGTACAGTATGAACAAGTCCCGGGTCATTCCGTTAATTGGCCGCTAGATGGCGCCAGCACATTTGAGATTGGATACCGCCGGTGTTTGATGACGAACCTTACAGAACTTGGACCAGGACACCGTGTGGTCACTGCAGGAAGTGTGGAGACCTGGGAGAAGACAAGGACTCAAGTTCAGTCTGAATAACAATCCATAAACGTCTCCCTGACAACGTCACACACCGAGAAGCTTCTCTCCCAGCATGCTGAGCTGCTCCTTGTTGAGACCTCGACCAGCAAAGGTAGAAAACTGCCAACTCAGCACCTCAGAGAGCTGGTTCCAGCTGGCTCGGGGCGGGTTCCCGAAGAACACCAAGTTCTGTGAGTTGAAAGGGGGGGGGAATGGATAGGAATTTACAAATTTTGGTTCTAACATCGACATCACTTATCGACTCAGTATAACAAGTATGTACTGTATATGGACGGCTATGGAAGGCTACATATGTTAGGCTAACACTTACTGCAGCACAAACCAGGCTTCACTCTGGTTTCACTGCCATGTAGGTGAAAAACAGATTTTGCTACATACCACTAGAGGGAGCCAAAATAAGGAAGTGACCTTCATTTATAAAACTGCTACAAGATTTCAGAATACTCCAAGCTGGTGTATCATCATGTACTGCAGTATTAGTATTAGTACTGCAAACTGAGAGGGAGTTTGTGCCGACCTTTGGCTCGTCGGTCAGGAGGTTGTACCACACGATGGAGGCCCAGCCCCCGGGCAGCTGGCTCACGTTGGAGATGACCACCAAAGGCAGAGAACACGTCTGAAAGAGTCAGAGAGGAACAGGTTCAACAGAGGACAGAGACGGACGGAGACGGACCCCCGGGGTCCAGAGTTACAATGTGGGCTGCATCTGACCTCAAGGTCAATGTTGAGACCCTGGACAGTGAAGCTGGCCTCGAAACTGAGGGAGTGGAGTTCTTCAGTCACCGACAGCAGACCCTGGAACGCACACAGTACACAGAGTTACTGGTGACCTCATCATACTCTGTATACTATGTACGATGGTCCTGATGCTATTTGTGTGGTACTTCTAAGTACTTTGATGATGAAGTATTTCTTACCTCATTCCCTTTTGTACCATTGATGTATTTCTTCTCCTTTAACTGCTGAAAAGCAAAACAAAACAATCAGTGTGTGTGTGTGTGTGTGTGTTCTGATGTAGTACACGTGGGGACACATTTTCTACTTCTTCCTGTTCTTCTCCTTCATGATGGATGGATGACTCGTCTTACCAGGTGTCTGAACTCCACAGACAGACAGCCGTTGGAGTAGTCCTCTATGTCCATGACTTTAGTGTTGTTGGTCAAGATGAAGAACTGACGACTTCTGAAAAGACCACAACGATTAGAAGCAGAAACTGTGTTAAAGAGTGTGTGTGCGGCTGTGTGTGCGGCTGTGTGTGAGGGTGTGAGGGTGTGAGGGTGTGGTACACACAGATGAGCCTGGAGGGAGGTCCCTGGAGACACACACACGTACACACAGATGAGAGGATTAGTATTTACCAACACTGATGTCCAGAACAGTACCACAGTACCGATGAGCACACAGAACTCTTACTTGTCAAATGTTGTTTTGACTTTGAGCTGATAATCGACCTCTGGAAGTTTCACCAGGAGCCTGGGAAAATTAGGAAGAGGGAGAAATAAGGAACAAATAATTCCAAAAATCAACTAAATCTTCAACTTTAAAACATTTAAAATATTAAAATGTGTCTAAATCTAAGGTAAATCTAAGGATGTGGACAGTTAGCCTTCACCCAATGCGGGGGGTCTGATGTGGACAGTTAGCCTTCACCCAATGATTCATTAAAAGTCTCGGGTACAGCTGCAGTTTTGGCTCGCTTCTCAACAGAAGCCAGGGGGCGCCATTTGATCAATTACACACAACATTTCCTCCACTCCTTTTTGTTTTTTTTTTTAAGTTGAAAGGTTTCCACTTGGCTCGTACCTGACTTTGGTGGTGAACTGTACTCCGGTCTTGATGATGAGGGGCTTCTGTGGGTGGGTGGGCATGCACGGCTGCTTCTCCACTACAAACGAGCTGCAAACAGACAGACCACAGCGGGCAGGAAGTCAAAACTCTCCTTCTAGTGAGAGTGTCGTTCAGACCTGACCATCGAGAACGTGAGCGCGTGACGTCACGTTACTGAAAGGGGAAACTGTCCTTCAGTTCAGTTCGGGCCGGATATTTTTGGATGTTGACTGATTTCTGTCACAGTCATTTGACATTTGTCCTCCAACGCTGAAAATTAGTTTCAAGGTGCTGACCATCAAAACCTAGTATTTGTTTTTAAACCGTCAAATAGCAGGAGAACAACGACCGTCTGTGACGAACATCTTCACCTTTTGATGAGGTTGTAGAGGAGGTACTTAATTCGCTCCTCAATCAGAGGTTTTTGCTGTTGGATGGGGTCGCTCTCGTACGTGACCTTCAGCACCAGCTCCCCCAGTTTGTCCAGCTGACGCTTGATCTGGAACAGACTCTGGGCCGTCAGGGTGAACCTGGAGAGAGACGCTGCGTTAGTTTCTGTCTTCAAGTCCTCGTCCGTAACTGAAACCCCTGCCGTGAACACCAGGGGTCCCCCAACCCTTCTTTGTACCAAGGACTGGTGGGACGGTATCAGCTGTTACTGTGTACCAGTACCAAATGACATACTGACTGGCACCGGTCCATGGACCAGGGGTTGGGAACCACTGATGTACACGTTTGTCACATTGACCTTTGACATTTAAATGCTGTTATCTGATTTTTTTTTTTTCATTTTTTTAAACCAAGAATAAATTTTTTGCAGTAAAATTGGCCTTTGACCTCGGACAAATCCTAAAAATGTTTGTGGTCTTTGTCGTTGACACCAGGTTACGACCTTCTTCTCTTTTACAGATCTGTGGTTCCTCTAGTGCTAACTGCTACACTATGAAACCGGAACCATTAAATGTTCTTCTAGTTTTTAGGGAAAATGGAATGTGAATAATTGATGAATATTTTTGGACATCGTTCCGACATCGTTAGTGCCGTCGACAATAACAACCGCTCATTACCAGCTTTGTAGCTGGTCCAGACCAGTCAGCAGGGGGCCGCCGATGGTCGCGATCTGTTGCCTGCGTTTCCAGTCCTTGAGCTCAGGGTTGAGCTGAGAGGTCATAAGGTCATCGATTTCCTTGACCAGGACATCCATTTTGGACAGGACTTCCTGTCGGAGTGGAGGGAATTGTACCATCAAACGTACCATCATTCATCACCACGTCAGTCTTTACTTGACGCTCGGTGTGCTTCTTTGGAAAATACACACAAATACACACACACAGTACCTTCCTTTTGAAGTCGAGCCTGTTCAGCATTTCCTGCAGCCGCGCTACTTCCTGTTTCATCATCTCCGAGTTCCTATCTGATGATTCTAGCACACCAACACAACCACAGACACACAGCGCCGAGTCGTCAGTGTCGACTCTCTGACTCCGTTTGACAACAGGTTTGGACAGCGTGGCCTCTGCGCTCACCTCGAGACTGCAGCGTCTTGTAGCGAAAATCAAAGTCGTCCTGCATGTCCTCGATGTACTTCACCGACTGGTCCATGAACTGGGAACACCACCACAAGAGGGAACCAGAGAGTTTTTGTGAATTCTTCTACAGTACCATGGTGTGACTGTTGGAGGGTCCGACCCACCTGCACGCCGCCTCTGATCAGACCAATCCTGTTCTCCATGTTCTTCTGCCTCTCAAAGGTCCCAGAATCCTGCAGTGATTTCTCCAGCGGCCCCTAGAGGTCATTTTATATTTAATATTTAAACTTTCACTGTCAAAGATTCATTAACATCCAGATCTGTGGCAGCCCAGCAATAGTCATCAGGAAGTAGAGTCAGAGGACAACAGGAAGTAGAGTCAGAGGACAACAGGAAGTAGAGAGAATATCAGATTAAAGGCGGTGAGAGGAGATGGAGAAGAGACTGATGGAGATGTGGCAGGAGCACCAGAGGTCAGAGGTCAGCGTTGACCAATCCTGTCTTTCAGTGGGCAAAGAAACCCCATGAACATGTGGACAGACTGAGGCAGTGGTGCAGAGAGAGACGGTTTGTCTGTTTCTACTGAGTCACAGCAGGGAGGTAACTGAACGTTTTTCCACTCAGCGCAGTTTTTGGGAATCAAACTTAGGTGACGTGTGTGTGTGTGTGTGTGTGTTTGTGTGTAGGTGTGTGTGTGTGTGTTGTTCACTCTTCCTGGCAGACACTCTGATTTACCAGCAGCCGTTGATATTGGCTCAGCAGAGGGACTTCCCCTCCGAGGGAGACGCAGTGACAAACCTGTTCCTGCTGGCAGGAGGAGGAGAGGATCCGGCGCTCCTCCCTCAGGCAGGTGGAGATCACTCTGGCCATGACGCCAGGATTGGTGGAGTACTTCATCTGTGGACACACACACGACCACACATGAGCCTGGATGCCTGGACCAGTGAAACGCATGGAGAACACCAGAGAATGTTCCGGTCCTTTAAGAACCCTGAACAAGCAGGTCTGTGGTGAAACGGTGGAACGTTTCAGGACAGAGTACTGATTTACGAGAACTGATTTAAAACCACGCAGGAGGAATGAGGTAGAACTGGATTTTATTTACTATAATGAAAGTGAAAAATCACCGAGAGCGCTGTCGTCACCGTGACGGTCATTAAAGGTTATTACAACATTTCATGGCAGCGTGTCAGGACACGGACACATAAACAGTTGGCTGAAGTGTGTGTGTGTGTGTGTGTGTGTCGGCAAGAATCGCGAAATACGATATCACGACTCAGGAGCAACGACACCATAATAAACAAATCAATATCAATACGATATTGTGCATTGATGGTGAAGGGGGGGGGGCAGAGCCTGCGGGTTTGACCACCCAACTTGATCAGAGATGACTCCGCCCACTCTAAATTCTGACCAATCACACAGTGGTTGAAACACTGGATCAGAAACCCGCTGCAGGAACTCCCAGACGGAGGAAACAGAAGAACTATTGTTTCAGTTCTTGTAGCAAAGGTCAGAGGTCAAAAGTCATCAACAGGGGTCAGGGCGGCGTGTTTGTTAAATACACATTGACATGTTGTAGAAGACGTGTTGACTGAGGCAGAATTTCTATCCCCCCCCCACCGTCCCTCCCACCCACCTCTACCTATGGTCTGACATCATCATCATCACTGATGCATCAACACACACATACAGGAAACAGCGGCACAAACAGGTTTGTTCTGAGAAGGTTGACGTTTTTTTTCTGAGCTGACGGCAAGCGAGGCTTTTTTTTTCCAGTGTCAACCTGCTCCTCTCAAACCTCTGCTGCCTGTGGTGGTTTTGCGGCTCAGAAACCATCACATCTACTCCCCCGCACCTCCCCTCCCACCTCAGTCGCTGGTTCACTTCCTCTTTTGACTCTTTGTGCCAGGCTTCTGTCAGGGGACACTGCAGTCACACAGTGAAGTGGAAGTTGTTGGTGTTGTTTATGAACACGTGTGTGTGTGTGTGTGTGTGTGTGTGTGTGGGAGAGAACGAACCTGAAGCTGTTGTTGTATGATCTTCATGTTGTGCCTCTGCAGGAAGTTCTGCTCCTGCAAACGAACCCTCTCCAGCTGGGTCAGCAGGTTGGACAGGAGTGCGGCTGCCATGGGCTCGTCTTCAGCTGCTGTGTCCCTTCACACACACACACACACACGTACGTCATGTTATGGGTCAAATACTTTTCAAAACTTCATATCATTTTTCACATATAAAGACAGACAACCATTCACATTACCGATGTCCGATCTTAACTTTTTGCGATATATAACGAAATGCCGATATTGTCCAAACACTTAATTTCTGATATCAACCATACCGATAGAGTGGAGCAGTGGTGCCCTGGTGGTTAAGAAAGTGAAGTGCAGCCCGCTCACTAAGGTGATGGGTTAAAGCAGTGTTTCTTAATTTTTTTCTGCCATCCCGATTATTACAAGAAATTAATAGAATAAGCCACAATGCTGCCATCTAGTGACCAGGGGCTTGTTTGTTAGGAAAAGGGAAAAGGGGAGAAGTTAGGTTGAGAGCAATAAATGAGTTTAGAATCAGTTACTGCAATTTTGTTTCAATAAAAGTTCTTCAGAGCACTGAGGCATCTGATTGGTCTTCAAGTAATTACTCATGGCCTAAAAGCTGTGTACTTGAACTGCGTACTCCGGTTGCCAAGCAACAAAATGACTTTGCCAGACTCACTGTTTTCTCGTGTTTCTGTCAATGACAATAAAGAAAGTCTAAGTCTAAGTTTGTGTCCGGGGCATTAAACTATTTTTAGGTCGCACATCATTCGGGCGAAACCCAGGCATTGCGATATCGGGTCTTCATTATCGGAGGAAAAAACGATCACGATTTTTACAGATATGATCATAATTATCCTAATATTGGGCCGATAATATCAGACATCCCTAGTAATAATAGAAAGTATTGAAATACTGCAATAAATACAATTAAAATATAAAGTGTGTGTGTGTGAATGTACTCTATATATAGGCCCATCTGCCCAGTGTTTAACAGTGTTACAATATAATAACCCTATAACATAACATTTTACTGCAGTAGCATTAAGATTAATCATTAAGAAATACTCACTAAAAAATATTCACAGTTTTTACTGCAACGGCATGGAAGGAGGGAAAGTTGAGAAAACAAGTAAAGATCTATAAAGACAACTCTGGACAAAAGAAGACGAGAACGTGGAAGAACCCTGGAGAACCCTGGAGAACCCTGGAGAACCCCGGGGTCCAGTCTCACCAGTCCTGCTCTTCTATCCAGCCGGCCAGTCCCTGTCTGATGTCCATGGGGAAGGTGTCGTCGTACAGATAGTCCACATGTTCCAGAAGTCTGTTCTCCAGCTGCTGAATTTGCTTCCACTGGCTCATGCTGCAAACACACGTATTTATCAGAAATCTTCTTCTTCTTCTTTACAGTTTTTACACCTGTTAATAAAGTGATATTAAAAAAAATTCTCCTTCGTAGTTGTATCTCTCACCTGAGATGTGTGTTTCCTGCTCTGCGCTGCCGTCTCTTCTCCTCCCTTTGTCTCTCAACATGTGCACTTTAAAGTTCTCCCTGCGAACTTTCGGTTTGTAGATGAGAAGAGGGAGGGGGGAGAGGGGGGGAGAGAGAGAGGGAGAGAGAGAGAGGGAGGGAGGGAGTTATCGCTGTTTATAAAGAGACTTCGCCCTGATATAGATCTTAACAGTTAGCTAGCATTGCATTAAACAATAAAAAATAATATATATATATGTAAAATACACAGTAAAATAAAGATGACTGATGGGCTGTACACGTCTTCTGACGTTTATTATTAAATCTTCTTCTTCTTCTTCTTCTTCTTCTTCTTCTTCTTCTTCGGTTAGCCTGGTGACGCTAAAGCACACGTGTGTTCTCGGTAGATGTCGAACCAAACACGGAATCAGAAACGTTAAGGAAACTGAGACGTGAATATTTACCGAAAGTGGTACAATTATAACGTAACAATGTCTGTTAGACGAGGAGCACCATCCCGTGGAGAACAGTGGCTATTGCAGAAAAGTGCCTGTAGCTCCAGTCCAGCAGGAGGCAGTGCAGCCTACGGAAAACAGACCCAGAAACAAACGTCGGAGGTGAAAAGCTCACGTCGGAAGAAACAAACATGGTGGGACACGGGGAGATCCGCGTGGTTCACCGAGGTGGCAGTAAATTACACTTCAGAGCGCCCACCATCAGCGCCGACTCCTGGTGAGTTTGTGGGTTTGAAGGGAACAAATGTTGTGTCCAGGGAAAAGCGATATCGCGGGGTTTTAGAGTAGTTTTAGCATAACAGACGTCAGAGTTAGCATTAGCAACACGACTCTCCGAGTTTAACACACTTTCACGTCACTGCATTTGTGTTTTTAGTCAAAACACTTCAAGTCGTTCGGTTATAATTGTGTGTGTTGTCACCCCAGTTTCCTGGCGTGTGCGTCTGGAGACTGTGTGAAAGTGTTCAGCACTTCCACGGAGGAGTGTATCCACCACCTGCGGGGACACACCGACCTGGTGACGGGGACGCTGCTCAGACCCTCCAACCACCTGCAGGTAAACGCTGCCGCTGCTCCACTGTGACGTCACACCTCTGTGAAGAGCAGTGGACACTGAGTCTTCTGTGACGTCGGCTTCGCCATCATGTTAATGGATTGTTGTCTTGTTGTCTTGTAGCTCTATTCCTGCTCACTAGATGGCACTATAAGACTCTGGGACTTCACAGATGGCATCCTTATTAAGGTACGGCTTCCTGGTGTCTTCCGTTTGTGTTTTACGCCATAATCAGTCAATGTCTCTCTCTCACTCCCTCCCTCTTCCTCCCCCTCTAAGACCTCATTTTGACACTTTTTTTGTTTCAACTTGTTTTGCCACAGTATAACCTTTGACCATGACCTTGCTGTTGGGGGCAGGGGGTGGGGGGCAGCGTCTGTAGTACTGTCAGGGTTGAGTACTGTCATGACGACTACTGTCAGGGCTAATACTGTGACTTAGTACCGATGTTACTGCCCTGTTTTCATTCCTAAACATTTGTGTGACGTTGCGTCGTCTCTTCCAGACATTTGTCGTCAATCTGCCAATTTATTCCATGGTTGCGTCGGCCAAACATGAAGGTGTGGTGTTCGTCGTGACCCCGACCCACGGTGACAAAAGATCAGGTGTGTGATGCAGGAGGACTTCTCATTGGCTCGGGGCTGTTTCTCCATGTTGATGTGTGTGTGAACAGCAGATGTCACTGTTGCCCAGTTCACACGACGACCACCACACACACACACACACATAAATGTCCAACAGTGTGTGAAGGAAGAACTGGGTGAAAGGTCAGGGATTTGGAATGACCAATGACAAGGTGTGTGTGTGTGTTTCTCTGCGTGTGTGTACAGAGTTGTTCCAGCTGGTGGCAGTGCAGCTGCCTCCGTCTCCTCAGCAGCAGGGGGAGGTCCTGGATCTCTCTGCTGTGATCGATGACGTCAGCTCCAACCCCGCGGCCACAGCCTTTGGCAGAGAGGTACAGAGAATCACAACAAACATGCCCCCCTCCCCCCCCCGCCCCAGGACCCCCGCCCCATGTATTAACTCTAGTTTCAGCCACCTGAGGGGTGTTTCCTGTTAACTGTTCATTTATGTCGGCTCTTTTTAAATCCATTAAATAACAGTCAGTTTGATTGGTTGGTTTGATCGGTTGGTTTGATTGGTTGCTTGTAGCAGTGAACGTCTTGTTCAGTGATGACCTCATCCTGTCATTCTCCATCAATGGATCCTCACACTGACCAATCACGTTCCTCCTGACAGGGGGAGTTCATCGCCTCAGTCAAAGGTTCACGCCTGGAGGTTTACTTCTTCAGGAAGGAGAAGTCGTTCAGGTGAGTCGGCCAATCAGCAGTCAGGAACATTTTACTGTAGTATCAGTACACACTGTTTACACTCTTTTACCATCATCTCAAATATTTGGACCAAATATAAGTCCAGCAGTTTATGTAACTCACCTGTTCCTGATGTGAGTTTTTTTTTTTTTGTTCTCCTTCAGGTTCTCCCTCAAAGAAAACAATGAGAAAAATAAAAAGAACACGTTCACCTGCGTCGCCTGTCACCCCAAAGATGACTGCATCGCCACGGGCCACGAAGACGGAAAGATCCGTTTGTGGTGAGAGGAGTGGTGGTGATCATCGGAAACTCGGCAGGTTGTTTTTAATCTGATGATGACCTTGTTGCTGTTGTTGTTTATTCTCAGGAGAAACCTCAATCAGAAGAAGGAGTACACCTATTTAACCCTTCACTGGCACCACGCCGCCGTCAGCTCTCTGTGCTTCACCCCACAGGGTAACCAATCAGATTTGAGCTTTGGTCGCTGAACGGTGACTGAGGAAATCTGTCACTGTAAAATCCACTTCTTTTTGGTGATTTTTAAAAAAAAAAATGTTTTCACCAGGTACTAACCTGTTGAGTGGGGGGGTGGAGTCGGTGCTGGTCCAGTGGCGTTACAAACAGGAGAACCAGAAGGACTTCCTGCCCCGTCTGGGAGGAGCCATCACCCACATCAGTGTGTCACCTGACGGAGTTCTGTTCTGCACCTCACACAGTGACAACAGTAAGAACTGTTTGGTCCAGAACCTGAGAAGAGGAACCACAGAACCATTTTAATGTTTTGGTTTTTTTTTTTGTTTTGTTTTTTTCCTCCAGAGATCACCGTCATCAAGAACAACGTCAAAGTGTCGGCCGTCATTCAGGGCTTGGTCAAAGGTGAGGACGGACTCACCACCCACTGGTACCGTGGTCCAAGTCCGACTGTGACAAAGACCCAGAACAGTTCTGTTGGACCGTAGTAGAACGGTGATGTCATCATGTCTGTGTTCTGCCGCAGGAGAACGTGTGAGAACCGACCTGCTGGTGGATCCACGCAGCAAAGTCCTGGTGTTGAACGGCCGACCCGGTCACCTGCAGTTCTACTCCCTGCAGCGGGACAAGCTCCTGTACAACGTAAGTATTCAAAGTAGCATTGAAGTACAATATCAGAGTACTTCCTAGTACAGCAGTACTGCACCAGAGTATTAGTATCTGTCACAATCTTTTTGGTCACAATGATAATGAACAGAGATGGTGCCCTCTGGTGGTCGTACGTCATATGGCTCATTCATTGATACGGGTTGTAGAGTGGAGATGAAATCTGTGTGTTCACCAGCTGATCTGTGTGTGTGTGTGTGTGCAGCTGGACATCGTGCAGCAGGAGTTCATCCATGAAGACGGTCTGCAGCAGTTCGAAGTCGTCCACGCCGCCTTCAACTCGTCTGGGAACTGGCTGGCAACAGTAGAAGAACGTCAGCAGAAGTCTGCGGACGTGGAGCTCCATCTGAAGCTGTGGGCGTTCCAGGAACAAACACAGAGGTACCGACGTCCGGTGGAACTCGCCCCAGGTTGACCACGGGAATGTTCTACTAACCCCAGTTCCTGGTTCTTTTGGCAGTTTCACCCTGACTGGGCCCCCCATGAGGCGCAGGTCACGGCCCTGAGTTTCTGCCCATCGGCTGACCATCAGACCACCATGTTGGTCTCCACCAGTAAAGATGGACACTTCAAGGCCTGGGCGGCCGCTCCTGATGCTCATGCTGCTAATGCTGACGCCCCCGACCATACAGAGGGTGAGAAAGTCTTTCCACACACTCAGCTGCTCCTCCTGGGTGTTTTTATTCCCAGAATTCCACAGCAGAAAAGACATACGTGGAAGAAAAACCGTAGCTATATTTTAGGGATCGGACAGTTGACATTATCGGCCTGATATTAGCCCAATTATGTAATATCGGTAAGAATTCTTTTTATTTTTTTTTTTCTGATAATGCAATGATTCGCCAAATGTTGTGTGACCTAAAAATTGTTTTGGGGCAAAACAGCTGTATATGAAAGTGAAAGCCACTAGATGGCAGCATTGCAGCTCATTTTATTAGGACCTTAGTGAGGACAGAAGCAAAACCTGGTTCTCCAGTACCGTTCTTTACCAGAACATGTTCATAAAACCTTCATCATCATCATCATTGTCATCGTCGTCTCCTCTTCTCCATCCTTTCCTACTGTCTTGCAGCTGAAGGTCCTTCCTGGTCATGTGACTTTGTGGGAACCTATCACGGACTGGTGCCGGAGCGCTGCTGTTTCTCCGCCGACGGCTCTCTGTTGGCCGTCAGTTTCCAGAAGGTGGTGACGCTGTGGAACCCAAACTCCTGGGAACTGGTGACCACCCTGTCCCAGCCGCCCGGAACCATCAGGTCAGAGCAAGTACCTGCACACACCTACTGTGTAGTAGTACTGCAGTACTTACTGTACAAGTTTAGGCAGGTCTATTCACATGCTCTCCTTTAGGCTCTCTCTCTCCCTCCCTCCCTGTCTCTCTCACCCCCCCTCCTCCTCCTCTCTGTGTAAGGGTCAGTGTGTTCAGTTTACAGCAGGATGAAATGTAGAAGTGCTGCAGTTTCAAAACATGCTGGCAGATGTCC